GACCTCTGTTGAGGAGACCACGAGCAACACCCGCTACAGCACTGAGCCCAGCGGCTGCACCACATGATGCCTCGCACACACACACACACACACACACACACGGCTCAGTCCTCCAAACCTGAGCGACGGCTGCAGGATTCAACGACCGACCACTGAGATCAACCGCTCAAACTCCACATCTGCATCGGTGAGCTCCTTCATAACTACTATATTTATATATATATACACTGAAACAAGTATTAAACAGAAGCAAAGATCATAGAACCAGATAACAGCATGATTAATATAATAACATGACCATGATAAAGGTGAAATCTGAGTCGGAGATGAATGCGTCCCTGAGCTACTCACGCGGGGAGTGCACGAGTTCCTCCTGGCTGCCGACATGCTTACGGTGATCTCCCTGTGAACTACTCTGGGGTCCCGAGCGAAAGCTGATCCGAGCACTGGTGTGCGGTCACATGACCAGTGGGTGTGCGGTCACATGACCAGACTAACCCGGCGGCAGGAGCATGATGGGAATGATCAAGCTCAACCACATCTGCAAACATTAGCAGTTCTAATGCGTCTGAAAGAGTCTCTCCTGCTGCGATTATCAGATCAGAAATACAGTAAAACAGTGTAATATTACTCCAGTGTAGATCAGCTGTTCTCTATGTGAATATACAGTAAAGTGTATTTTATTCCTGTGATCAAAGCTGAGTTTCAGCATCATTACTCCAGTCTTCAGTGTCACATGATCCTTCAGAAATCACTCTAATATGACGATCAAGAAACATTTATGATTATTATCAGTGTTGGAAAACATTTTTCAGGATTCTTTTATTTAAAATAGAAATCTTTTGTAACAATATACACAACCATTCACGAGTTTGGGGTCAGTAATTCAGTAATACTATTCAGCCAGGATGAGTTACATTGATAAAAAGTGATTTATATTGTTACAAAAGATTATATTTTGAATAAATACTGTTCTTTCGTCACACTATTCATCAAAGAATCCTAAAAAATATATAATGTATCACATCTAGGGTGTGACAATATATCGCAATACAAATGCGATATGGATTATTTGTGTGTCCTGATGCCAAATATCTGATGTTACCAGTGAAAAGTGGCCTATTATTTATTTTAAATCTAGTCAGTGACAGAGATCATCATATTCATCTGAAATAATTCTGTATTTCCAGCTTCAGAATCATGAATCTTGTTATTCTGGAGTCTCTATTGTCCTGTGCTTTGGGTTTCAGCACTAAGTCCAAGACTATTCATTCACACACACAATGTAAAACCAAATTATGCCTTTTAATAAACTCTACATTTTTTATTAACCTTTTACCATGTCTTGAGTATCGCAATAATAGTGTGTCGTGTGTTCAGTATCGTGATATGAGGGAATCGTTACACTTCTAGTAGCAGCATAGTTTCCATAGAAATAATCATAAATGTTTTCTTGATATTAGAGTGATTTCTGAAGGATCATGTGACACTGAAGACTGGAGTAATGATGCTGAAACTCAGCTTTGATCACAGGAATAAAATACACTTTACTGTATATTCACATAGAGAACAGCTGATTTACACTGGAGTAATATTACACTGTTTTACTGTATTTTTGATCTGATAAATGCAGCCTTTGTGAGCAGAAGAGACTCTTTGAGAAACATTAAAATAGTCATGTTTAGGAAACTTTTGACCGGTGCTGTATGGCAGAGTTAAACAGTAAATACTTGACTAATGTTGTACAGGAGTACTGAAATAATGACTGCACTGTAAGACACTTCGCTTGAAAAGCTTCTCTCCCGTGTCAGAACATGAGATGGGACACAGATGATGCATTCGAGCTAAACTAGATGAGTTCGCAGATTAACACATCAGTCAGCAACACCCGACTGTTGTTTAGCATTAGCTGTGATGCTAACCGCTCCGGTTTGAAGAAAACATCACGGTTTGTCGCTCAGACGCCGAAAAGAGTCGACAGTGCTCAGTGGAAACGCATTACACGAGTTTAGGTCTTAGTTTGTGTGCGAATGTGTTCATGTATTGATGTTTTTCTGCACACTTGTGTCGATTATCTCAGGCAGGCTCGGTCTCGAGTGAGTGTTTCCTCTGTTGTCAGGGAAACGAGCGGTAAAACCACGAGCTTACCTGAAGACGAGAGCTCTATGAATGACAGCTTCTCAAAACAAAAGAAATCCCGTTTTTTTTTATGTTTGGATGTTATAAGGGGTCTTTGGCAATGACAGCAGAGGACCGCTCACCGGACACTAGAATGGGAACAGTCAGTCACCAGCGGATGACGCGGTCACTTCCTGATTGCATCACGTGGTGCTCAGCGACGCCGCTGATTGGTCTGATCACTCTGCCCTCCGGCCACGTAGAGATATTAAATCATTTATTTAATTAACGCACGGATAGTATTTTAAATAAAGTCACAGTATGTAGAAAATTGTGGGTCACTCAACATAACTTTTTTTTTAAAGCATGTACGATTCTTTCTTACCATTTGGCGATGGCTGTATTTACGCATTTGAGTTGGAGTGACCTCGATCATTTGAGGGCTTTTATTTAGTTCGTTTTTTGTATTATATGCCTATAAATTTGATATATATTATTGTGGTTATTATTGTTGTTATTATTATTTAATTTGTACAACACAACAGTCTCCAGTCACGTGATCGTTCGTTTCCCGCAACAAACGGTGCAGTTCGCGCTCATTTATTTCCCCATGGAAAATCGGATTACAACGATCAACCGCAAAGTCATCATCAACAACAACAACAACAACAACTTTAAAGTAAGACACTTGACCTTCTAATGCATCTTATGCACGCAAATAATGTTTAACACTGCGGTTAAAGTTTGAAGAGAGAAAGCGCGCGTAACGAGTTTCTAGGTGTAACTCATTTCCACATAAGAAAAAAAATCATGCTTTTGTAAATCTTATTTTTTTTATAAAGTCATAATTATGGCATACTAAATAATTTGAGATAAACATCGAAACTATCACATGATACCGATTAAGAATTACTAAATAGAAAATTATAAATGATAATTTATGAATTACTAAATAGAAATTGTGACATCATAACTATGAGATTTTGAAAAGCTTATTTATGAGTTTAGAAGTTGAGGTATATGTGTGAATTTAGCCTAATTGAGTCTGTGGACTGGGAAGTTTTCTTCAAGTAGTGTTCGCTTATCCATAAATACTTATTCAGGATTCAATATTTATTTGCCAGCTGATGATCAATGTCTTTCCTTTCAGTTTTAGGCCTACTGGGTGAATGTCACATAAAATAATTAATATTTGTGAAAATAACACCCTTTGTCTTAACTAGGACATATAAACGACAGCAAACAGGTTCATATTTTTTCATATTCACAAATGAGCAAATATAGCTCAGTGTTCTGGTTCACGTGAGAAAACATCCTCACTGTCATTCCTGTTGGTCTATAAATAAGGCAATCGTTATCTTTAAATAATCTTATTTCCTTCTTCCTACTCATTTGAAAGGTTTCTGTACGAGGTAGCCGGACAAATCACACAAATACTCATTGTCTTGCAGCATTGCATTGTGGTTCTCAAAACATTCCCAGACAAACGTCACTGGAAACACTTCAAGATCTAGCACCAGATTAACAAACACTCACACAAACACACTATGAGAAATAGACAATTAAATAAACTGGGTTTTACCAGAAAAAACAACTCATTTGAGCTCCTGAAATGTAGTTTTACTAGTCTCTCTTGTTTTTGATTGAGTGTTTTTACCTCAGCACAGGCTTGAGACGCTCCCCTATATTATTACTATTCAAGCCCCACTGCAAATCAGGTTTATTGGCGACATTGACAGACTTTCAGCGGTTTGCAATGAACAAATATAACAAAATGCCCGTCCTGGCGAGTATTGAGTTAAACACATTCATTGTGGAACGCAAGTAGTTGAGAAAGATAACGCATGTTGTGTAACAGTATATTGGGCCCGTGCGTAAACTCTTAAAGTGACAGTAGCCTAATATTCCTGCTGTCGGGTCCATCAGAGGACCAGGAACATCTCTCTGCTCTTGACTGAATAACTTCTGAACTGAATAATCTGTATTTAATTTTTACAATGAAGACTATCCAGTGTTATTTTACATTTGACTACTTTGATTTCTGTAGTATTTCTTACCTGAATGCACTGTATACCCGCCTGTGTTTATTTCATATCTCTCTTTATTCTATTGCATCTATGATCTATTTGTGCTGTTGTTTGACATTTGTTTATTTGTTCTTATTTTATTAATCTTTTTACTTGTTTGTTTTTTATTGAAAATACAATTTTGCATTGTAGAAAAGTAGATTTTTGTTTGTATGCTGTCAATCATATTTCTTAGAAAGAAAATCGGTATCGGCAAAAATCGGTCACACTTAAAAATAAATCTGAATCGAGAATTTTACTCCTCCCATAGTGTATGATTGCAGAAAATAATACACATGTTTGCATTGAACATTGATGGAGCAATAGATTTTGTGTGAAAATAAATCATAAAAGTGGTTTGTTTAAAAATCGTATAAATGTATGAGGTGGCCCCACGGACACACACTATTAATACAAGTACTTCAGCTGAAATAATGTGTTTTTAATAGGGCTGTCAAATGATTAATCACGATTAATCACATCCAAAATAAAAGTTTTTTTTTACATAATATATGTGGGTGCATTGTGTATAATTATTTTGTATATATATAAATACACACACATGCATGCATGTATATTTAAGAAAAAATATAATTTATATATAAAATATTTATATTTATATATAATATAAATTATATATAAATCTATATACAGTATATACATGAAAATATTTCTTAAATATATACAAGCATGTGTGTGTATTTATATAAAATAATTATACACAATGCACCCACATATATTATGTAAAAAAACTTTTATTTTGGATGTGATTAATCACGATTAATCATTTGACAGCCCTAGTTTTTAATCATGTCTAAGTAAATACTTGTTTAAAACAATCCCATTAGCAAAGTTTGTTCTAGTAGCTGTTTATAAAAATAAATAAACTGTCATTAATATGTTAACGGGTAGTTGACAAATATGCAGTAAAAAATGCTTTTTTTTTTGTAAAACACAATTTTTGAAGAAAAATGTCATATATTCATGTAGTGTACTGATGTTTATGTACTCATTTACTGATCTTTGAGAAAGTGAGGGGTCACTAACTTTAGACGGTGTGACAGCAGGAACAATACAAATCCATTCTGACAGACATTTCTGTTGAGTTTCATTTATTTGGCAATCGCCATCTCTTGATCTTTAGAAAATTCATTTCCTTCTTGCTTGAAAACTAGGAATGTAGCCGGACAAATCATGCAAACGACTTGCAACATCGCCTTGATTGTGAGGCACATTTCTACGAACTGGAAACACGTCATGATCATGGGATGAGTACACAAATACTCCCACAAATAGAGATGCCATAACGTTACAAATAAATAATTCAATGAAAAGAGTTGCCAGTCAGTCCAATGTCGTTAGGGTTTAGGGTTCAGTCTCACAAAAAACTAAAACTAGCTTACGTAAAAAAACTTAAGCTTACTGAAGACAAGTGATAAAGAATTAACAAAGAAACTAATTACAAGCAACAAACTACAATAGAACAAAGACACAAATTAAATAGACCTACCTTAAAAACGTCAAGCACTAGAAATTAGAAATACTACATAAATTGTATGAATAATCAAATGTATAAATAAAACTACATAGCCTTCACTGTGTAAATGAAATACATTAACTCTCATTAAAGTTACAAAAGTGATTCAGTCAAGAGCAGTGAGAGATTTTCTCATTTTTATTGTTTGATTAACATTAATAACGACAGCAGGTAATTTGGATTAATTCTTTACGTTCACTTAAGACTTAAATGACTGTTGACTTGCAAAGACGGTCACTTCGACACACAAGTATGTGACTTTACAAGCCCAATTAGTCTAAAGCCTGTCCGACAGCACACGCATATAGCCAAATGATGCATTGATGTGAAGAACTGGTTTGTAGAAAATACCTATCTTATCTTTTCTTTCATCTATCTTTCTGAGTAAGGGACTAATGTTCACGGAAGAGACTCATGACAAGTCTTTATATGCACACAACTTCTGTTCACAATACTTGTGATCCGCCTGAGTTTTGAGGTACATTTATAAACACTGCAGTCGGAATCGATGCATAATGTACACATTTCTCAAAAAGCCCATTGCTAATTGTACTGATAGCTTTTTATTGATAAATAAATAAATTAACAACTCTAATGAATTCCAATAGTTTTATCAGAGTTTATCTGAAACCTTGAAAAAATACATGCTTTTTAAAAATATTACAGAGATAGTTAGTTATACATTACATTTATATATATATATATATATATATTACAATGGTATTCAGTAGAGAATGAGGTTGACATGTAGCTAGAAAATACTTGGTAGACCATTAAGTTCTCCAATTACCCAATTCCGCATCCAATGCAAACATGCCATACATTGGTCAATTTAGAGAAATGCCCTTTGATTTATAGATTAAACTAATCATAAAAAGAACATGAAACTATAATTGTTAGTGGTTAATGGAGTTTTTTTCATAATAGATAACAAATGACAGAATATACTTAGGCATGGTTCAGCCTGTTCTGAAGGTATAGAAGCTGAAATTCAATGTATTGTCGTTTCAAGGTCTAGTTTACATACGAGTCCTTCATTTGAGCAACATTCAGACCTGTTGGAATCCGTTATGGTGGGATTATGGTCAATCAAACCACGGAACCAGAAGTGACACCGCAACTAGAACTACCGCGCTCAACACACTGATCTTGCTGCCGACTTCAGCTGATGAAAATACTGCATTGCAAAGAAAGAAGAGCAAAACAAACAAAATGTATTTAATATTTATCATTCACTGTCAATGTGGAATTTATCTAAAGCACATCTTTGTTTACATGACGGTATTAAACACTAATATGAGCAGACAGTATTTTCCTACAAAATTAAAGTGCAACACTTACCTATGCCATTTATCACAATTTCATATGTGAAGATCTGGAAGGGTATCGAGTTGCTTTTGGCGGCTTTAACTATAGTGTTCACTATCTGGGTGCTACTGGGTACAGCGCTGTTCGCTGCAAATGCAAGATCCATGGAGTTTCGGATCGTGGTTACACTCATGGTTTTTACACTGGCATCACTAGAGAGAGTTTAAAATCAAAATTCATTCATTAAAACTATATGTCAAAAGTTGTATGCAAGAAGCATACACGCATATGCATACCTGAAGTTTGTTACAGTTAAGATGCTGAATGATACAGGGTAATCGGCAAAGAGAAAAGGTTCAAGCTGCAAAACAAGAGTCGTTTCAACAAAATTAGTTTTCTTTTCATAGCATGTTACCCAAAATTCTTAAAGGCGGGGTATGTGATTCTCTTTTTTGTAAATTTTTTCAAAATAACTTGAAATCCTATTCCTAACCCACTTACAGCCACTGAGTTAGAAGCACTGAAATGAAAATTAAGCAATTTAATCATCTGTGGAACGGGCAGGACTCGGAAAAACTCCAGCCAATCATTTCCAAGACCACCAGAATCATTGGACAGTAAGTCCGTCAATCAAACGGTTGTAGCACACCCCCCTCCCCCCAGCGCGCGTGACCCCCGTCGTGCGCATACTCAAAGTTTGTGACGCATGCGCATCTCGTCAGTAAAGCCGGTTCCATGATTAGTAGTAAATCGTCATTACAATCTCTCGCGCATCTGAGTTTTCCCTCGTGCATGATTGCGCGTCCATGTTCTTCGAATAGGTGGAGTCAGAGCCGGCGTTGGAGGAAAGAAGGTAGGACCGTTTGAATTGTATATTTTCAAAATCTGCCGGTCGTTTTCCAAATCACATACCCCACCTTTAAATAGACACTTCACACTTACCCCTGTTTTTATCATCGTAGCCCTATTCTTAAATTCAGTTGAACTTGTACTTGAAAGAGCAGCCACAAAGGTCCCATCGGTCAGGATGGTCACGGGAATTATCTGCAGTGATTCTACAAAGGATTAAAAAGTAGAAAACAGTGTATCAGGTGGATTTTTCAAGAGATGTTGACATCGAAGAACTCAAACTTCAACTGTAATTTACTAATAACTTACTGGTAACAGCAATAGAGGTCACATCAATCGTAATGTTAAAGCCTGAGTTTGGATTTGTAGCTGCTTCTTTTAGAGTCTGCACTATTTCACTGTTGCTGGGGATGGGTTCAGTGGAGGTTTGGTCAAACACTAATTCAAGCTCTGCCTGTACACTTGGTTCTGCCCGGGTTTTGCTAACAGATCTGAAAGGAGACACATACAGTTTACATCTGGCAGTGTGGAAGACATCAGGATTTTGTATTTTATATAGTTTGTCTTTTATATGTTCAGTAAACAAAAAAGACCCACCTGAAAGCAATCACAACAACCCTGATGAAACGAGGTCCATACTTCTCTTTATATACTTTGTTACACTGTGGAAGAGTCAGATTTGGCAATGTTATTAAATATTGTGTCATAATAAAATAATTTATATAAGAATCAAATAAAATGTGCATTTATTATGTTAGATTTTCCCCTGGATAAGAACTGGTGTGAAAAGGGAAGTACTAGACCGGTGACCAAAAAATCACAACCAAGTGAGATACTTGGTTTAATTTGATTTAAAGATGAAAACCAAACAAGCCACAATGTAAAACAAGCTAAAAAAAAAAAGAGTTTTGGTTGCTTAAAACTCACCTCAGTTTCAACTTTTTCTGCTAGGTTCTTAAATACCACACTTGCTGTGTTTTCTAAATCTGAAGTGAAAACTACTAAAATTATCATCTCTATGGTTACAACTGGTGGAGGGCGTGTTGGAACTGCTGTTGTGGTGGTGGTGGTTGTTGTTGGTGTTGGTGTTGTTGTTGTTGTTGTTGTTGGTGTTATTTTTGTTGTTGTTTTTGGTGGTGTTGTGGTTGTTGTTGTTGGTGTTGTTGGTGTTGTTGTCGTCGTTGTTTGATTGTTGGTCAATCTGACTGTGACTGTAGTTGTGAGCGGTGCTGTTGTTTTAAGTAAAGGCTTCGTTGTTATGTTGGTGAGTTGGTTTGGTGCATTAGTACTTGAAGACATAGAGTGCTCTGTAGTTGTAATATTTTGGGTTGTAGATGTAGTTATAATCTGTGTTTTAGTTGTAGGTTTCAATGTATTTACTGTTGGCTGGATTGTAGCTATGGTGAGTTGGGTTGGTGTTTTAGATGAGGTTATAGTTGAAGATGTAGACTGGGTTGCAGTTGTTGCCAGTGTAGTTATTACCTGGTTTGTAGTTGTTATGAATGGTAACATAGTTATATTTGGCTGGGAGGAAGCTATAGTCTGTGTTATAGTTTGAAGTGTAGGCTGAGTTGAAGTAATTTTAGGTGAGGTAAAGGATAACATTGTAGGTTGGATTGTAGTAGCTCTAGGTAGGGACGTAGCTATAGGCTGTGTTGTAGGTGGAATCATAGGCTGGTCCAGAGTTGTATCAGGGGATGAAGATGAAGCATTTATTGTAGTTTGGGTTGCAGCATTTGTAAGCTGGGTTGTATCAATTGAAATGAGTTTTTTAGTTATTTGCTGGCTTGTAAATATAGACTGGAATATAGTTGTTGTAGATATGGGATATAGTTGTTGGGATGTAGCTGTGGTTGGGACGGTATTTTTAGGCTGAAAAGTAGTTTCAGCTGTAGACTGGGTTGTAATTGTTGTGGGTTGGATTGAATGAGTTATAGGTTGGCTTGAAGTTGTAGATTTGTCTGTAGATTTAAATGTAGCTTGAATTGTGCTGGTTGGTTGGGCAGTAGTCGTAGGTTTTAAAGGGGTTAATGTTGTCTCTTGGGTTGCAATTGTTGGCTGTTTACTTGTAGTTGTCGCAGGGTTTGATGTCATTGTTGACTGGATTGAAGTTGATATTGCTTGGGTTGTAGTATTGGTCTGGATTGCAGAAGTTGCAGATTTGGTTGTAGGTATATTTGTAGCTTGAGTTGTACTCTGAGGTTGGGTTAATTTTGTCAGCTGGATTGAAGTTTTAGGCTCTGTTGTGTTCTGGGTTATAGCCGTAGTTATTGGGTTGATTGCAGTTTGTGTAGGTTGTAAGGTAGTCACAGAATGGGCTGTGTTTGTAGGCTGGGCAGTTGTAGAGATTGTAGGCTGGGTTGTAACTGTTGCAAGTTGTGTAGTCATTGTTGACTGGACCTCAGTTATAGGTTTGATTTCAGTTTGTGTTGGTTGTGAAATAGTTGCTGTCTGGACTGTATTTGTAGGCTGGGCAGTTGTTGAGAACGTAGGCTCAGTTGTAGCTGTTGCAAGCTGTGCTGTAGTTATTGTTGACTGGGCCCCGGTTATAGGTTGGATTTCAGGTTGTGTAGTTTGTAAAATGGTTACGGTTTGGACTGTAGGCTGGGCAGATGTTGAGAACGTAGCCTGGGTTGTAGCTGTTGCTAGTTGTGTAGTCATTGTTGATAGAGTTTCAGTTGTAGGTTGAATTTCAGTTTGTTGTGAAGTTGTTAATGACTGGATCACAGTTGTTACAGGGTGAAATATAGTTGTTGTGAGGGTTGCAGTCTGGGTGTTTTTTGTATCCTGGGCTGGTGTTGTAACTGTAGGCTGGCTTGTTGTTGGTTCGGTTGTAGTGGGTGTAATGGTTGTTATAGAAGGTTCGGTTGAAGTTGTAGCATCATTTGTCGGCCAGACTGATGTTGTTTTATTGTAAATTGAATAATTGTTTGTATTGTAGATTGAATTATGGTTGACAAAAAACAATTGAGAAGTGATATTAGTCTCAAATAGAGTCTCCATAAAAAAATCTATTTAATGATAATTTACTTTTTTTTGTTATATTATCAACTGATTTACTTACCATCCACACTGGTTATATTAAATGTAGTTTTTGCATTTATGATAACTTGTGTGATATTATTATCCCCAGGGAGCATGTCCATCATTATGAATTTCAAATTCATGTCTGTGATTACTGATCCAGAACTACACATAAAAAGAGAGCAAACGTTTTTTGTTACAGGTTATGTCAAATAGTGTGCAAGTTTCAAAATTAGCCTTTAGTTAATGTAATTAGATGCATAGCATTTGAGAAAATATGTTATGTTGCTTGTTTTATGTATATTTCTTGGAGAAGTATAAAAGCAGGTGCAGTAATCAAAAACACTATTTATTAAACAAGCACAGATATTTGCATAGAGATAGAAATGACTAGGTATTCCAGAGATTACACAAAACAAGAAATAAAGAAATACTCACCGGAACCGAATAACTGTCAGTCCGAGGAAGGAGGTAAATGCTTTTTTAAGGATTGGCTCAAACTGTAGGAAAGTTACAAAGGCAGGTTAAACAATAAGTTATAAAGTTTAAAACATAGAAAAAATCCAGCACATAAAGAGTTATGGTGGTAATGAAAATGTTGTTGTATTTACTGTAACAATTATGTCAATTTTAGTGCAGTGCACTTTAGCTTTTTTTTGCAGTTCTTTCTATTCTGTTTACTTTGTTTGTCTGTACTAAACATCATCTTAAATAAAAAGGTATTTGAAAGGTAACTAAACAGCATACTTCATGTTTGACTTTTTGTTCTCGATTTGTAAACTGAGGGGAAGTTGAGTTCAGCAGTGCAAGATCAAACGTTTCATCACTGGTAAATCTGACAAGGACCGTAGTTGTAAGTGGTGTAGGCTTTGTTGCAGTTGTAGTGAGTTCCACTACAGTTGTTAGTGGTTGTGTTGTAGATTGTGGTGCTGTTTTCAAAGGATGAATAAATGGATATTAGTCTAAATCGCAGCAAATACATAGCCTAACTTCTCTTTAAAAACCAAGTCACCTGAATGAAACACAAAGAAGCAGGTTATATTTAAATAATGAAAGCCTATTTTATGAATTTAACGGAGGACTGTTCATTCTCTCCAGTAGAATGCCAAATAAATAATTTACAAACAAATTTTTCAACTGGAAAAATATCAATGACCCTAGCAAACATTTTGTATTGTTATGTATCACACAAAATACAAAAATGTTGGTTTGTCTAACTTACAAAAGAGGGGACTTTCATGCGAGACAGTGGTTGCACTGGAAGGAGAGCTCTCAGGGGTAGTATCTGCTGATGTCATCGATCCGTCTGTATTTGCTGTAGTCCTAGATGTGGTTACCTCAGGTTGTGCAGTGATCACTGAGGTTTCCTTTCCTCCGCTAATTCCTGTAGAGGACTCTGTTGTGAATGTGGTTGTTAGCCGTTCTGTTATTGCTATGGTTGATTTTGCTGTAATAGCCTTGGTTGATGTATCTATAGCGGTGGACTCAGCTATGGCATGAGTGGTTAATTCTGCTGATGTGGATTTAATTTCTGTTGAGATGGATGAAGCTGACTTATCAGCAATTCCTATTGTTGTATATTCTGTTGAAATCACTCCTGTTGTAGTTGATAAATCAGGAATCTTGGTTAATGATTTGGCTCCTGTAGTTGAGTCTGGTGTCATGAGTGTAGTCGATTGAATAGCAATTCCTATAGTTGACATTTCAGTCTCTGCAGTTGAATCTTCCTCATTTGTAAATGGTGTTGATTTTTCAGTAACACTTGTAGACAATTCAGATGTAAATGATGTTGTTGATTCTTTTGTAACTCTTTTAGATATTCCTGATGTGAATGGTGAAGTGGATTCCAGTGCATTTTCAGTTGTTGAAAAGGCAGGGAAATCTATAGTTGTTTCTTTTACGGTGGATCCAGTAGTAACTCCTATGGTTGACTGTAGTGTTGTGGTAATTGATTGATCGGTAACTCTTGTAGTTAGTAGTTCAGTTTCCTCTGAATGTTCCTCTGTTGTAAATGCTGTTGATACTTCAGTAACACTTGTAGATATGTCTGATGGGAATGATGTAATCGGTTCCAGTGTCTCATCAGTGAAGTCTATAGTTGTTTCTTCTAAGGTGAATCCAGCTGTAACTCTTGTGGTTGATTGTGGTTTTGTGGTTGCAGTTGATTCATCAGTAAATCCAATAGTTGACGGTTCCGTTTCCTCTGTTGAATCTTCCTCTGATGAATCTGTTGTAAATGGTGTGAATATTTCAGTGACACTTGTAGATATGTCTGATGGGAATGATGTTATCGGTACCAGTGTCTCATCAGTGAAGTCTATAGTTGTTTCTTCTAAGGTGAATCCATCTGTAACTCTTGTGGTTGATTGGGGTTTTGTGGTTGCAGTTGATTCATCAGTAAATCCAATAGTTGACAGTTCAGTTTCCTCTGTTGAATCTTCCTCTGATGAATCTGTTGTAAATGGTGTGAATATTTCAGTGACACTTGTAGATATGTCTGATGGGAATGATGTTATCGGTTCCAGTGTCTCATCAGTGAAGTCTATAGTTGTTTCTTCTAAGGTGAATCCAGCTGTAACTCCTGTGGTTGATTGGGGTTTTGTGGTTCCAGTTGATTCATCAGTAAATCCAATAGTTGACGGTTCCGTTTCCTCTGTTGAATCTTCCTCTGATGAATCTGTTGTAAATGGTGTGAATATTTCAGTGACACTTGTAGATATGTCTGATGGGAATGATGTTATCGGTACCAGTGTCTCATCAGTGAAGTCTATAGTTGTTTCTTCTAAGGTGAATCCAGCTGTAACTCTTGTGGTTGTTTGGGGTTTTGTGGTTGCAGTTGATTCATCAGTAAATCCAATAGTTGACGGTTCAGTTTCCTCTGTTGAATCTTCCTCTGATGAATCTGTTGTAAATGGTGTGAATATTTCAGTGACACTTGTAGATATGTCTGATGGGAATGATGTTATCGGTTCCAGTGTCTCATCAGTGAAGTCTATAGTTGTTTCTTCTAAGGTGAATCCAGCTGTAACTCCTGTGGTTGATTGGGGTTTTGTGGTTCCAGTTGATTCATCAGTAAATCCAATAGTTGACAGTTCAGTTTCCTCTGTTGAATCTTCCTCTGATGAATCTGTTGTAAATGGTGTTAATATTTCAGTAACACTTGTAGATATGTCGGATGGGAATGATGTTATCGGTTCCAGTGTCTCATCAGTGAAGTCTATAGTTGTTTCTTCTAAGGTGAATCCAGCTGTAACTCTTGTGGTTGATTGGGGTTTCGTGGTTGCAGTTGATTCATCAGTAAATCCAATAGTTGACAGTTCAGTTTCCTCTGTTGAATCTTCCTCTGATGAATCTGTTGTAAATGGTGTGAATATTTCAGTGACACTTGTAGATATGTCTGATGGGAATGATGTTATCGGTTCCAGTGTCTCATCAGTGAAGTCTATAGTTGTTTCTTCTAAGGTGAATCCAGCTGTAACTCTTGTGGTTGATTGGGGTTTTGTGGTTGCAGTTGATTCATCAGTAAATCCAATAGTTGACGGTTCAGTTTCCTCTGTTGAATCTTCCTCTGATGAATCTGTTGTAAATGGTGTGAATATTTCAGTGACACTTGTAGATATGTCTGATGGGAATGATGTTATCGGTTCCAGTGTCTCATCAGTGAAGTCTATAGTTGTTTCTTCTAAGGTGAATCCAGCTGTAACTCCTGTGGTTGATTGGGGTTTTGTGGTTCCAGTTGATTCATCAGTAAATCCAATAGTTGACAGTTCAGTTTCCTCTGTTGAATCTTCCTCTGATGAATCTGTTGTAAATGGTGTTAATATTTCAGTAACACTTGTAGATATGTCGGATGGGAATGATGTTATCGGTTCCAGTGTCTCATCAGTGAAGTCTATAGTTGTTTCTTCTAAGGTGAATCCAGCTGTAACTCTTGTGGTTGATTGGGGTTTCGTGGTTGCAGTTGATTCATCAGTAAATCCAATAGTTGACGGTTCCGTTTCCTCTGTTGAATCTTCCTCTGATGAATCTGTTGTAAATGGTGTGAATATTTCAGTGACACTTGTAGATATGTCTGATGGGAATGATGTTATCGGTTCCAGTGTCTCATCAGTGAAGTCTATAGTTGTTTCTTCTAAGGTGAATCCAGCTGTAACTCCTGTGGTTGATTGGGGTTTTGTGGTTGCAGTTGATTCATCAGTAAATCCAATAGTTGACAGTTCAGTTTCCTCTGTTGAATCTTCCTCTGATGAATCTGTTGTAAATGGTGTGAATATTTCAGTGACACTTGTAGATATGTCTGATGGGAATGATGTTATCGGTTCCAGTGTCTCATCAGTGAAGTCTATAGTTGTTTCTTCTAAGGTGAATCCAGCTGTAACTCTTGTGGTTGATTGGGGTTTTGTGGTTGCAGTTGATTCATCAGTAAATCCAATAGTTGACAGTTCCGTTTCCTCTGTTGAATCTTCCTCTGATGAATCTGTTGTAAATGGTGTGAATATTTCAGTAACACTTGTAGATATGTCTGATGGGAGTGATGTTATCGGTTCCAGTGTCTCATCAGTGAAGTCTTTAGTTGTTTCTTCTAAGGTGAATCCAGCTGTAACTCTTGTGGTTGATTGGGGTTTTGTGGTTCCAGTTGATTCATCAGTAAATCCAATAGTTGACGGTTCAGTTTCCTCTGTTGAATCTTCCTCTGATGAATCTGTTGTGAATGGTGTAAATATTTCAGTGACACTTGTAGATATGTCTGATGGGAATGATGTTATCGGTTCCAGTGTCTCATCAGTGAAGTCTATAGTTGTTTCTTCTAAGGTGAATCCAGCTGTAACTCCTGTGGTTGATTGGGGTTTTGTGGTTCCAGTTGATTCATCAGTAAATCCAATAGTTGACAGTTCAGTTTCCTCTGTTGAATCTTCCTCTGATGAATCTGTTGTAAATGGTGTTAATATTTCAGTAACACTTGTAGATATGTCGGATGGGAATGATGTTATCGGTTCCAGTGTCTCATCAGTGAAGTCTATAGTTGTTTCTTCTAAGGTGAATCCAGCTGTAACTCTTGTGGTTGATTGGGGTTTCGTGGTTGCAGTTGATTCATCAGTAAATCCAATAGTTGACGGTTCCGTTTCCTCTGTTGAATCTTCCTCTGATGAATCTGTTGTAAATGGTGTGAATATTTCAGTAACACTTGTAGATATGTCTGATGGGAATGATGTTATCGGTTCCAGTGTCTCATCAGTGAAGTCTATAGTTGTTTCTTCTAAGGTGAATCCAGCTGTAACTCCTGTGGTTGTTTGGGGTTTTGTGGTTCCAGTTGATTCATCAGTAAATCCAATAGTTGACGGTTCAGTTTCCTCTGTTGAATCTTCCTCTGATGAATCTGTTGTGAATGGTGTGAATATTTCAGTGACACTTGTAGATATGTCTGATGGGAATGATGTTATCGGTTCCAGTGTCTCATCAGTGAAGTCTATAGTTGTTTCTTCTAAGGTGAATCCAGCTGTAACTCCTGTGGTTGATTGGGGTTTTGTGGTTCCAGTTGATTCATCAGTAAATCCAATAGTTGACAGTTCAGTTTCCTCTGTTGAATCTTCCTCTGATGAATCTGTTGTAAATGGTGTTAATATTTCAGTAACACTTGTAGATATGTCGGATGGGAATGATGTTATCGGTTCCAGTGTCTCATCAGTGAAGTCTATAGTTGTTTCTTCTAAGGTGAATCCAGCTGTAACTCTTGTGGTTGATTGGGGTTTTGTGGTTGCAGTTGATTCATCAGTAAATCCAATAGTTGACAGTTCAGTTTCCTCTGTTGAATCTTCCTCTGATGAATCTGTTGTAAATGGTGTGAATATTTCAGTGACACTTGTAGATATGTCTGATGGGAATGATGTTATCGGTTCCAGTGTCTCATCAGTGAAGTCTATAGTTGTTTCTTCTAAGGTGAATCCAGCTGTAACTCTTGTGGTTGATTGGGGTTTTGTGGTTGCAGTTGATTCATCAGTAAATCCAATAGTTGACAGTTCAGTTTCTTCTGTTGAATCTTCCTCTGATGAATCTGTTGTAAATGGTGTGAATATTTCAGTGACACTTGTAGATATGTCTGATGGGAATGATGTTATCGGTTCCAGTGTCTCATCAGTGAAGTCTATAGTTGTTTCTTCTAAGGTGAATCCAGCTGTAACTCTTGTGGTTGATTGGGGTTTTGTGGTTGCAGTTGATTCATCAGTAAATCCAATAGTTGACAGTTCAGTTTCTTCTGTTGAATCTTCCTCTGATGAATCTGTTGTAAATGGTGTTAATATTTCACTAACACTTGTAGATATGTCTGATGGGAATGATGTTATCGGTTCCAGTGTGTCATCAGTGAAGTCTATAGTTGTTTCTTCTAAGGTGAATCCAGCTGTAACTCCTGTGGTTGATTGGGGTTTTGTGGTTGCAGTTGATTCATCAGTAAATCCAATAGTTGACGGTTCAGTTTCCTCTGTTGAATCTTCCTCTGATGAATCTGTTGTAAATGGTGTTGATATGTCTATTACACTTGCAGATATGTCTGATGGGAATGCTGTTATCGGTTCCTGTGTCTCATCAGTCGTTATTTCATCAGTAAATGAAACTCCAATAGTTGATATGTCAGTCTCCTCTGATGAATCAAGTGTAAATGCTGTTGCTGGTTCATCTATAATATCTGTGGCTGATGCATCTGTGAAATCTGTTGGTGATTTGTCAGTAAATTCTGTTTTAAATTGTGGTATCTCTGTTGAATGATCTGTAAGATCTATGGTAGGGTTATCCAACAAGGATGTTGAAAATTCTTCCACTGTTATCTTTTTCGTCATGACATCATTGGTTGATTCATCTGTAACAAATGTGATTTTTTTTCAGTAAATTTTTTTCTGGGTAGGTGAAGCAATTGTGTGTGATAAAGTGAACTTACCCGTTAAACCGGTTATAGATTTAGCAGTTTTACTTGTAATTGATTCCATGGTTATTTCTGTGGACAATCCATCAATTGTGTTGGTCGTAGAAACATTTGTAATGTGACCAATTGATTCTGTTGTGAAGTCATCTGTTGAGTCTGTGGCATCTGTAACATCAGTTGTTTGCTCAGCTCTGATAACAGTATGTGCTATTAAAAAAGACCAAATTTAAGATAAAGTGCATATATTACATACACAGAAGTGAATAGAGTAAAAACAGTGGGATGAACAATATGAAACTCAATAATAATGTGAAAAGACATGAACTTAGGGTCTACCTGTTAACATAAAAATTGTGGTCATCAATGCTGTTCTCCACATCATGATAGCTGTCAGAATTGAATTAAACACAACATATGAGAGATTAACGAAGGTATCAAAAAATAGATGTCATATAACTTTTTTTGCCCTGTAAATGTATTGCCCAGAATTTCTCAATTCTCTCTTGGAATCTCCCATCTGAAACACCTGGTTCAGGTCATGGAGCTCTTGCCTAATGAGCTGATGAGTTGAATGAGGTGTGTTAGATCAGATAAATATCCTTTCAAAAGTGCGGTGCTTCAGGAGACTCTATGAAAAGGGTTGAGAACCATTATCATCCCATTCTCCCATACTGCAGTTTTATCTTAGTGTGACCTAGATACTTTGCAGTTGAGGTCTGCGAGCTGTCTTGAGTTTAACGGGACCCCACAAACTGTCACATTTCATGCCACTGGATTGGGGTTTATGAATAATTAAAAAAAATATTGTTAAAGATAAAATGTTGTGCTCAATTTGTGCTTAAAATTTGTGCGTCTGGTTCTGCTTGCTTTGAGAGTTGGAATTTTTTACCAGTCTGGTTGAGTCAAGTGTCGGTTTCAACTTAAGGCAAGACACTACAGGTAAAAGCATTAATTTTGAGATTTTTTGTTTTGTTGTTGAGCTATTCATTGTGCTTCCATAACATGTCTTCTTTCAGACTAGAAAGAAAACATCTGAAATACACATTAAGTGTTTTTTTTATTGCAATGCATATCTTTAAAGGCTAAAGTAAAGTTTTTTCCTCCACTTCTGCAGCACTTACATACACCAAACTTTACAATTTTATTCCCATCTATATTCTGAAGGTTTTTACTGAGGGGTTTGTTCATAAACCATTCACATTTTACATAACATTTTATTCCTGGAATTTTTTTTTTTTTTAACTGGCTGTTCAGGGTATTTTCTGATTTACGGAGTAATAAAAAGAGATATCCAAAAACCCCTCTGTAAAAACCTTTAACTGCAACATGTCAACACAATCAAACAAGAGTTTTAAACCTGACTTTATCCAATGTTCAGATTTATGTTCTGGAAATGTAAGCAAATTCATTAATATTTAATTAGACAATTCCTCATTCACATATTTAAACACAACATTTTAGAAAACGTGTAATAATTTAACAGAACTGTTTTGTGACTACAGATATGTTGGTATAGGAATTAGTTTGTATGGCAGATTTTTTGTGTGACATTTTTATTATTTATTTATATTTTTAACTCAACTAAGCTAGTGACTGATATTTACGTTGAAAATACGATGCACATTTCGAAATGTATTTATTTTTTTAATTTAAAAATAAATATGCATATATTACATAAACAGATGTAGATATTGACTTTTATCAAGATATTGACTTTTATCTTCTGCGAAAATGTTCTTATTTCAGTCAATTGTTCCGTAGTTATAGTCCTAAAAACTGCCATCAGTAGTTTAAAGGTAAGAAAGAAAATCAAACTCACCCAATTCGTCTGATCAGTTCAACGAATGATACTTAAACACAGGTCAGGCTGTAAGTCCCATGGCAAAGGTAAGTGCATACATGCTTTGCTTAAATTCAGCTTTATTACCTCTGTTATGAGTCATGTGCTGTGTCATTACCACAAGGACGGAAGACCATCATTCAATGACAAGTGGAATTCTTAAACAACATTCCAAAGTTGTAAGTTTTTATTGTAGTTAGGCTCTTAACAGATGCTTTGTTGTTACACAAACTAGTCTGAGATTTGTTCAATGCATACCCTCATTGCTGACATACTGAGACGGACAAGAATTTGTTTTTCAGAACACAATTGCTATTCTAACTTTTTGTCTCTTAACTACTTAGTACTTGAATGTCTGTTTAAGTGATTTATTTTTAGTTAAATTTCACACCCTCACAACTTTCAGTTCACCTTTAAAGGCATTAACATGAATTTTACAAACAACGCTGACGTTTTTGCCTGTGTTACATTATATTATATTATGTTATATTATATTAGTTGGTTCCTTGTAAGTGTGTGTTGTAAAGGCTGGAATACGCTACACGACTTTTGCCTTTAGACTTTTTTTAGAATATCAAACATATATTTTGAGACGATTAAGAACACGTATTGTTTTCATCTGTCACTCATCTCTTAGCAATGAGGATCATGTTTCTATGAGAGTTAGCATGGCAAGCCGTATGACTTTTATTAATTCCCAAGATATGAATTCTTGATATCAACAATTCAATTTTCACTAGTTAAAATGTAAATTATTGATATCAAGAATTAGATTTCTACTAGTAACAATAGCAATTTTTGATATCAGGATTTGCATTTTCCACTTGTAAAAATGCTAATTCTTGATATCTGTAATTGTATTTTGCATTGACGACCCAGTGTGTGATACCACTCAAATGAATGTATTTAATGGTATCACGCACTGGGTCGTCACTTAGGTAATATAAGTCTTTTGTATCTTAAGACATTGAACAATTCGCCTTCCATCACTTAAGTATATGTTTGTTCTGGCGTACTGAAAGTGTACTGTTTGGGCTCAAATAAGTGATGAGTGAATACTTGCTTACTTGTTGTTTTTTCGGGCTCTACTACTGTTGAGACCCAGCAGGTGGCGCTATTTATTTGCTTGTGGGATATATAAAAACCCATGGCCAAATAGAAATCCTGAAATCACTCCGACTTCCAACAAACCCGCTCCTCACTCCAATCAAACCATGTTTGAGAGAAATGTTTTGATGGAGACTGAACATCTCAACGCTACTTGTAGTTGCTCTTAGTACTCCGTCTTTTATGTTGAACTGGCTGATAATCTTGAATTGTAGTGTCCTGTTTCTCTGGCATTGTATAGATGAGATTGAGCCTAGATGAAGTGAGCTCTTTATTAGGCCACTGATGTGAAAGGTGTCATATTTGTTAAAACCTTTTTTATTACTGTTGAAGTATATGATGAGGAAACTACTTGGTTCACCTTTAAGCTGAATTTAAGTGTTGTGTTGAATCAAAAATGAAATATTTTAAAATTAGAAAATGAAAAGCAAACCTACAGTGTTGGGATATTTGTTTTTAATGACCCAACAAGCTCCATTCAAACCATCAAATTATGAGGACACTATTTTATTTGCTTATATTCTATATATGATGTCTGCAACACACTCCCAAAAAGTTGGGACAGAGGCAGAATAAAAGTGAAAAAATGATAGAATATCCAAGTTATAGCCTACTGCTTTAAAACAGTTCATAATATGCAAGTGAATTGTTAATAAAAGCATCTCAGTCAATGATGGATGGGTCATGGCTCAACACTTTGTGCCAAATATCGTGAGAGAATCATCAAACAATTCAAAAATCACATTTCTCAATGCAAGATTGCAAAGAATTGAAGTCTTTCACCGTTCCGCCCTATTTCCGCTGTCAGCTTTCCTCTTTAGACTCTGTGATAGTGCCATTCTCTCTGCACTGGCGTAATAGCGTACCTCCAGTGCCATGCAGTTTAGGACGAGAGGATGCCAAGTGTAAAAGTAGGCTACGTCAAATAATGATTACAATAAGTTATTTTAACTTATTTTAAATGATACACATTTATTATTCCCAATATGGAAAGAGGAAATAAAACAGTTAAGAGCATGACTCAAACATGGGCTTATTCAATGCTTTTATTTCAGTTATTTTTACCCATTCCGCTTCTCCCGGATATGTTTGAAGACACGTGTCGCTACTGCTTTATTAATTTACCCAGTGTAAAACCCGGACACCGCCACACAAATGTGTTTTTTGTTAATGACTGTTCTCCTACCAGTTACAAAAGACACTGTAACAGTCTGTCACAGGCAACTCTAGTTACATTTTTCATCAATTCATCTCTTAAATTATCCTTTGACTGTGTTCTGGCCTGCCATAGCTTACTTGCCGACCCCTGGTAAAGGCTATCAGTGCAAACGGCGTGGAGGACTTGCATTTGTGTGAAGGTACCGCTGACGTGGAGACATATGTTTGGATCGCAGATATTTCTGAACTGAAGATACTAATTGTTGCAGTATATGATAAAACTGTAAGAAAAAGGAAAGGAGATGTGAAACGGTGGGGAACATGCCAACGTTTTTGGAGTGTGTTCAAGCCATTAAAATCACAATGTGTTATTACAAAATGTGTTATTACAAAATGCAATAAAGCTGGTCAGGGAAAACATTGGAAGTGTTTTCTCTGCACTTTTGACAGGTAAATAAGGCTTCAAGAGAATTAACAAATCACAGATTCATTTTATTGCATTTTACAAAATGCCCCAACTTTTCTGGAAATGGGGTTGTAATATCTGGATGGTTTTCTCTTGTTTTTGCATCTGCTCATAATTAGTATGACAGCCTGGGCAAACTTTCTTTCTTTCTTTCTTTCTTTCTTTCTTTCTTTCTTTCTTTCTTTCTTTCTTTCTTTCTTTCTTCCTTTCTTTCTTTCTTTTGTTTGTGGAACAATAAGTGGTGTGTTTGGACATTCATTCCCATGACTTTCATTGTGTGTGTGTGTGTGTGTGTGTGTGTGTGAGAGAGTGTGTTTCACGCTCATACAGATTTAGAATGACATGCGTGTGAGTGAATGGTGACATTTCTGGGTGAACTGTCAATTGATAATGTTTTGTAATCATTTACATCTCGCATGCTTTATGAATCGCAGATGTAACTGGACGGGCGGTACATGAAAATGTGATCGCTGAGAGAAAGGAAGAAGAGAGAAGAAATAATAATACAATGACTAAAAATGAGAATAATCTTTTTTTATTATTATTATTGTTTATCGCCATTATAATACTTGTCACCAGAGTTTATTTAGCAAGTGATAAATATAACTACGTAGCTTAAATAATAACTGTTATTACCACATCCAGTGTGAACAATACAGCAATACAATTCACAGAAAAGACCTTTGAGTTTAGCATTAAATTAACATCAGAAATATAAAATTTTTTCTCTAGAATAAATAATTTAGAAAATACTTGTATTATACAGATAATTTTGCATAAAACATGTCAGATGAAGAGTTTGGTTTTGTACAGGTTTATGTGTTATGTAATATTATCTTCTTATCCGTGCGTTTTCCCTCAGCCATCTCTGAGTCATATCCTGCAAATATTTATCATTCTTCCATGCTGTTTTACAGGTTTCATAATCTTTGAAATACTTCATCCTTTTGCTTACCAAACCCTGTTTCTGGCTCTTCAAAGTCAGCCAGCGTAAAAGAGAGCCAGTGTTTCCAAGCCATTTTAAAAACTAATCGCAGGTATTTGTGTAACTTGTGTTATCATACACACGCACACTTTAGACTTTACAAACCAGTGTCGTGAATTAAAAAAATTACTGTACATAAGTGCACAACATTCTGACCTAAATCTATAAGAACACAGGAATATACATAACAGATATCTTAAGTCTAGTGTGAAGTTTTCAGAATTGGATTATAGTACGTGCATTACTACAGTAGCTCTAAGCTTGAGTCCTTCACTTGAGCAGATGTTGAAGGCTTCCTTCAGACCCGTCTTCTAGTGGATGTGTAGTTATGGTCAATCACACCACGAAAGCAGAAGCGCCGCCGCCACCAGGAGCAAGGCGGTCAACACACTGATCCTGCTGCGGGCTTCAGCTGATGAATATGCTGCGTCGAGAAGAAAACACACACGCGTTATCATTCAGGGAACATTACAAACATCATCGAGTACTGGAGACAGAGCTTTTCTCCTGCTCATTTTTATTGGGAACAAGTTGAATTAAGCCATCAAAATATGAGGACAATGTTCTATATTTTTTAATATGAGGAATAAAGGGTGAAGATGTGAATTCTCCATCACTTTTGGCCACTCCTGTCTGATAATAAAAACAAACTGTGCCTATTATTGATGATTAATAGATTCGAAACAAATTTAGAGAATTTGCTATTAATAAACACCTAAAAGCGTACTTGGATGCTAGATTGTGCTATGGTGCAGTTTGAGTTAAAAAATTTGATCTAAGTTGAATTTAAACGAAAAAGTGGTATTTACATTTTCTAAATTAAGCGATTGTTTTGATCTTCTCACCTGTGGATAATTTACTCATTCAACCTGTTTGTTATAGTTTGTTATAATATATAAATTTCCCGCATTATTAGCACAGAACTTGCATGAGTGAGGTAAATTATGTGCAATATCTGCGCCAATGTCTAAATAATAATATTTAAAAAAAACTAACAAAATGTTACAACTGTACACTATCCTACATTGATATGAGTGCAGTTATCAAAGTATAAATACTCATCTGAGCAAAAAGAGTTCAGTGCAACACTTACCTATGCCATTTACTACAATTTCATATGTGAAGATCTGGAAGGGTAACGAGTTGCTTTTGGCGGCTTTAACTATAGTGTTCACTATCTGGGTGCTACTGGGTACAGCGCTGTTCGCTGCAAATGCAAGATCCATGGAGTTTCGGATCGTGGGTACACTCCTTGTTTTTACACTGCCATCACTGGAGAGAGTTTTAAATCAAAATTCATTAATTAAAACTATGCAGTATTATGTTAAATCAAAAGCTATATTCAAGAACACGCCAGCATATGCATACCTGAAGTCTGTTACGCTTAAGACGCTGAATGATGTAAGGTAATCGGCAATGAAAAAAGGTTCAAGCTGTAAAAAAAGAGAGAGTTGTTTAGACTAAATTGGCATTGAAAGCATGTTTGCCGAAATAACCCAAAAAAGTAGACGCATCACACCTACCCCTGTTTTTAACATTGCTGCCCTGTTCTTAAATTCAGTTGAACTTGTACTTGACAGAGCAGCCACAAAGGTCCCATTAGTCACGATTGTCACTGGAATTATCTGCAGTGATTCTACAAATATGATTTGAAAAGGTATCACATATTGCACATCACAGTTTTCTAGGCAAGTCAACATGATACATTTCTTAGCAATTGGTCATATCAGATAACTAGATCGACTGTGATGACTTACTGATGACACTAACAGTGGTGGGATCAACGGTGAGGTTGAAGCCTGGAGTTATAGCTGCTTCTTTCAGAGTCTCCACAATGGAAGTGGGGCTGGGAACGGGTTCTGTTGACTTTTCACTAAACACTAACTCAACCTCCGCCTGGACATTTTGCTCTGCTCGGACATTTTGCTCTGCTCGGACATTTAGCTCTGCTCGGGTTTTGGTAACAGCTCTGAAATGAAAATCAAGAGATTAAAACGGCTTCCACATATACTGTGCAACTAACCATAAATGCAACTAACCACACAACCATAAATGCTTAGGAAAGCAAAATAAGCTAAATTCAAAAAGGAGGAGAAATCGTCTCATGTTTTGTGCTGTGTTGACAGTAATGAGTATGGTAATCATAATACATTACAATGAAAGTACAAAATTAGTTTTTCTTGTCAGAGGGATTTAAGTATAGGCGTTCCCATTGCTCAAAGTAGACCATCACGCTCGCAGCGGCAAGGTCATGGGTTCCAATACGAGTACTGATGGAATATATTACATTAAATGCAAGTTGTTTCGGATGAAACTGTCAATTGTCAGTTAATATGACATTCTTTAATACTTTAAGAACATCACAAAATCTGTCTAACTGAAATCATGATGGGGTGCAAATTTTAGGGATGCACCGATATGAAATTTTTGGCGGATACCGATAACCGATAAGATGAAAGCCGATAACGGATATATTGGCAGATAAATCTAAATCCCAATTTTTATATAATTTTTGAGAGCCTGATTACAAAAACAAAAGTCTCACCATCAAAAGCCATGTCCCAAGCCACAATTATAATATTCTTATTATAATTTTTATGCAGCCTATATGACCGAATTGTGCTGCAGAGGAACTGTATTTTCCTTTTTGAAGTGATTCCAATCATAGTTTAAGCAATTCAAAACCATCATGTTGAACAGTGCGCATCTGAAGTGTCTCAGCTAAAGGAAATAATACATTATTTATCGGCTTTAATATATCGGCAAATTTTTCTTATCAGGCCGATAACGATAACATAAAAATGTAACCTATTTTAGCCGATACCGATATGGTGGCCAATATCGTGCATCCCAAGCAAATTTAATAAAGAAATCATTTAAGTAATGAAGCAAACTTTTAACTTACATGAAACGAATCAAGATGGTCCTGATGAAACGTTCCCCATACTTTTTTTTGTAGACATCATCAAACTGTAAAAACAGTGAGTTAGTTACAATACATATATATACTAAAACAAAAACCCTACAGAAGATAAGCAGTTTTGAAGAATGGATGGATGTTTTGCAGTTTGAAACTTACCACACTCACTATCTTTGTGGCTAGGGTCTTAAATTCTAAACTTTGTGGGTTTTCAAGTTGTGGAACATATATCTCAATAATGACAATCTGTATGGCTACTGATGGCAGAGGACGTAGTGGTAGTGTGGTGGTGGTGGTGGTGGTGGTGGTGGGCGTTGTTGTTGTTGTTGTTTGTGTGGTGGTTGGTTTAGTTGTATTTGTAGTAGGAGGGGTTGTGGTTGTAGTTGTAGTTGGACTGGTTGTAGTTGTAGTTGGACTGGTTGTAGTTGTATTTGTTGTAGGAGAGGTTTTAGTTGTAGTAGGACTGGTTGTAGTTGTATTTGTAGTAGGACTGGTTGTGGTTGTATTTGTTGTAGGAGGGGTTGTAGTTGTAGTTGTAGTAGGACTGGTTGTAGTTGTAGTTGTAGTAGGACTGGTTGTAGTTGTAGTTGTAGTAGGACTGGTTGTAGTTGTATTTGTAGTAGGACTGGTTGTAGTTGTAGTTGTAGTAGGACTGGTTGTAGTTGTATTTGTAGTAGGACTGGTTGTAGTTGTAGTTGTAGTAGGACTGGTTGTAGTTGTATTTGTAGTAGGACTGGTTGTAGTTGTAGTTGTAGTAGGACTGGTTGTGGTTGTATTTGTTGCAGGAGGGGTTGTAGTTGTAGTTGTAGTGGGACTGGTTATGGTTGTAGTTGTAGTAGGACTGGTTGTAGTGCCATTGGTAGTCGTGTTGAGTGGATTTACTGTTGTGTGTTTGGATAATTTGTAGAATAAAGTTATATAAAAAGAACAGTTGAGAAAACTATTAATCTTAAGCAAGATCCATAAAAAATAGTGTATAAACCACAACTACAAACAATTATAGTTTAATAACAATAAAGAGTATTCCACAGAAAACATTCCAAACTGTTTTGAATGACATTGCATTGATGATCTTGCTTGTTTGACTTACCTTTAACACTGGTGATGTTAAGAGTGTTGTTGCCATTTAAAATGGCATCGGATATATTTGTTTCACTGGGTACGGTTCTAAATGTTACATTCATATCAGTGATGATTGATCCAGAACTACAGAAGGGACGTGGAAGAGAAAGAGTCATTGTCATTTTTTTTTTATGTAAGACTCAGTGCACAAACTCTCATAGGCATTAAGTGTTCATGCAGCTATTATTGTTATCTTGTGGTTTTATACAAATCTGTCAAATGCTGTTAATAACAAAATATAGATGATTCTAAAAAAACATCTGACAGTTGCTCATATCTTTTGCCTTAGTGTACCAGTAAATTTAGATTTACAAATTCCTTTAGCAAGTTTTGGAATAATCTTGACATGTTTTGTTTTATAAATAAGGAGCCCAACAACTGATGGTACAGCCCACAATGAGATCTCATCTCACCATCATTAATTCCATCTGGGATTACATGAAGAGACACAAGCAATTGAGACTAAAGCCGACATCCAAAGAACTCTGAAAGCCTTTCCAAGATGCTGGAACAACCTGCCAGCAAATTACGGCACCGTTTAAAAGTTAATGTCCATTAAGCGAATCAAGTCAGTGTTTGGTGTGATCACACTTAGGCTTTTCAAAACAACTCTTTCCTATGAGTTTTTAAGGTTGGTTAAGGGAGGAGAGTAGTCATAGTTCTTCAATGAATTTATGGGTTTAGCCTGAGTTGTTTCTGTGTCTTCCATGTAATTCCAGATTGACTTGATAATGGTGGGATCAGATCTATGTGTGGTGCACATCTTCTGTTGTGAGACTCCTTGTTCATACAAAAATATCCCTGAATTATTACGACAGTTATAATAGGAATGTTTAACTTTGGAAATCTAAATTTTTTTATTTCTATTCTAACTTGTACACTAAAGCAATATATATATATATTTAGACTCTTTTTAAAAACAAAAAACATTTATGTTTTACAAAAATGAAATGTATTCTTATTATAAGGAAAGAAATACCCACCGGAACGAAATAACTTTCAATTTAACAAAGGAGCTACTGAATGCCTTTTCAAAGATCGGCTTAATCTGTGGAAAACAGATTCACAATGTCAGGTTCAACATTTAGTTACAAATTTTAACCACAGTTAAAAATCTACAACACGAAAGACATTTGGTGGTCGTTAATTCTTTTTTACATGGTCTGCCGTTATTATTTACAAATTTTGCATATTAAAATTTACTGTAATAGTCTACTCTTTAGTTCTTGTTCAACGCTGTACTTTAAAGTGCACCTGTTATTCCATTTTAAGGTCTTTTTAGGTAAAAAAAACCCACATTAATTTCACATAATATACATTGCACATCACCTCATTTCTCAAAGAGTCTGAAAACAGTTTGTTTGAAAATTCAGTCTTTCTAAACCCCTCCTTTCTGCAAGCCTACTCTGCACTGATTGGTCAGATGGCCCAGTCTGCTGTGATTGGTCTACCGCTTACAATGTGCGTAGGAAACAAAACGCCTATTAGCATATCTGAATTCCAGCTCTTCCTCAGCTCTTGATACACAGTGATACAAACAGTAACGATGGCGTGGGTTTTACCGTATCAATCTCATCAAAGTGGATTTGCTTTGTCAGCAGAAAACAGCGTCTTCTCGACACGAACCAAACTCTTCCAGTCTCAGATAAACTACAGTGTTTGAGGGCGGGGCTAAGAGACGCTATTCAGCCAATCAAGACCACAGGCTGGAATTATGCAAATTAGTTACAAACCTACGCGGGTTCAGCAGGAAGTGAGACTGAATTACTGACGACTCGTTTCAGGCAGTTCAGAATCGAGTCTTTCGTTTAGTAGACGAAAACTTTTACATTCACAAATGGTTCTATTACACACTGCATGTAAGGCAATACTCTAAAAAGCATAATAGGGGCACTTTAATTTTTTTTGTACATCACTGGAACAAGTATATCAATGTTTGGAGGGAGTATTTGCATGTATTTTCACCTATTTTTTTCTGTTGTTGTTGCTTATTATTTCTGTTGTTATTGTTATGCATTCACCTATTTTTTCAGCTCATAACTTTTGAACAATTTGGTGTAGGAATTTTTTTTTTCCCCTCTTTATCCTTGTTCAATAGACCACCCGAGGGACCAGTGAGGGGTTTTTAATGATCAATGTCTTTATCACTTATCACTTATCTGAAGCTGCTTTGATACAATCTGTATTGTAAAAAGCGCTATATAAATAAAGGTGACGACTTGACTTGACTTAAGTCTTCCACAATGAATTTAACTTAGGATGGAGTGCTTCAACTCTTAGCCATGGCTGCATTTCCCAAAAGCATTGTAAGCCTTAGTTGATCGTAGAACATGGATCTCCTTGAGTAGATTTATCTGTGGATTTATTAAAAGACTACCTACTACATTCATCTTCATGTTTGTATGCATTTACCGAACTCAACCTAACTCAAAACCTTTTTTTTTTGCTGATCCATAAATTTATTCCATCCGTGGACCGTGACTCAAAAACTGCAATATGATTCGAACTGTGAGTTCTGTTATCCGTTGCACCTAGTCTGGCTATCACCAGACCAAGCTCAATCTTTTAAGATTGAACATTGGTCTGGGAAGTCTGCTCTGTATTTTCTACTGCACAAGAGGCATGATCAACGAGCATAGTTCAAATGACTCTGTACGCAATTGGATAGTCCTTCAACCAATCAGACCAACGATCCGGGTGACGTACTTTGCAGCGAAAACTCTAAGCAGGAAACTTGTCAACAAACGTGTTGGTTTGGAGCCTTGATCAGCGGTTTGCAGAAGCAGCAATGGCATCGAGCGATTTTTGCAGGTTTTGCCCATAAAAAAATTGACAGTGAGTGGTATTTACATTCACTCAAGCGATTTGTTTGCTAAATCAATAAGAAGCCATTGAGCGTCGTGGAGAGGTTACAAGGAATTGGATTGGATTAAACCCGCCAATAGCGCACCAGGTGGATAAGCCAGTTTGTGATTGGACCCCGCAAAATTGTAACGGAAGCAGGATAAAATAATGTATAGGTTTCCAGCCTGAGCTGCAGGGCGAAATCAAACCGCCAGCAGATCCGGCTGGCTTTACCCAGTCTACGTTGCACCACTATTAAGTAGTGAAAGTAAAAACTAGAAATGATTAATTATCATGTACAGAAGTACTGTATGTGTAGGTTATCAGATTCTGCAAACAGCATAATTTCAACATTGACGAATCCGGCCCAAATTTCAGTCAGGTTCTCCTCTAGTAGCCTATGTGGAACTATTGGCGTTTTAGCCTATATGTAAACCTGTGATATTGTGTTTTGTATCTTTTTTTTTTTGTATCTGTATGTTACTTTATGTTTTGTACCTGTTTGTGGTTGGACCATGTGTTTCCTTAATAAAGCTTTGATTGATATTAAAATAACAGCTAATTGATATTTACACCTGGACGCAAATAAAATAGAACAAATTACATGTATTGGGTGCATATAGTTTACACTAATATTTATATTAGGTTTCCAAATAAAATGCTTAATACATTAAAATGCAAGAATGTTAATATTTAGTTTGCGGTGAAAATCGCGTGTGCCTTAAATATTTATCACACAACTTACCTCATTTATGACTTTGCTTTCTCTGGCTTTAAATACTTCTGATGATGAATCTGACAGTGCAGGCACAAAATTTTCATTGCTGGAAAACCTAACTAGGACTGTAGAGGTTAATGGAGATGTGGCCGTTGCTTCAGTTGTAGAAGTAAGTTGTGTTGTCGTTGCGGTTAGAGGGAAAGAAGTCGTAGCTGCAGTGTGTGTTGTTGTAGTGTCAGTTGATGTTGGAGTTGTCTGAACTGTTGTAGTTTCAGTAGTTGTAGTTTCAGTTGATGTTGGAGTTGGCTGAGCTGTTGTGGTTTCAGTAGTTGTAGTGTCAGTTGATGTTTGAGTTGGCTGAACTGTTGTAGTTTCAGTAGTTGTAGTGTTAGTTGATGTTGGAGTTGGCTGAACTGTTGTAGTTTCAGTAGTTGTAGTGGCAGTTGATGTTGGAGTTGTCTGAACTGTTGTAGTTTCAGTAGTTGTAGTGTCAGTTGATGTTGGAGTTGTCTGAGCTGTTGTAGTTTCAGTAGTTGTAGTGTCAGTTGATGTTTGAGTTGGCTGAGCTGTTGTAGTTTCAGTTGTTGTAGTGTCAGTTGATGTTGGAGTTGTCTGAACTGTTGTAGTTTCAGTAGTTGTAGTGTCAGTTGATGTTGGAGTTGTCTGAGCTGTTGTAGTTTCAGTAGTTGTAGTGTCAGTTGATGTTGGAGTTGTCTGAACTGTTGTGGTTTCAGTAGTTGTAGTGTCAGTTGATGTTGGAGTTGTCTGAGCTGTTGTAGTTTCAGTAGTTGTAGTGTCAGTTGATGTTTGAGTTGGCTGAGCTGTTGTAGTTTCAGTAGTTGTAGTGTCAGTTGATGTTGGAGTTGTCTGAACTGTTGTAGTTTCAGTAGTTGTAGTGTCAGTTGATGTTGGAGTTGGCTGAGCTGTTGTAGTTTCAGTAGTTGTAGTGTCAGTTGATGTTGGAGTTGGCTGAACTGTTGTAGTTTCAGTAGTTGTACTGTCAGTTGATGTTTGAGTTGGCTGAGCTGTTGTGGTTTCAGTAGTTGTAGTGTCAGTTGATGTTTGAGTTGGCTGAACTGTTGTAGTTTCAGTAGTTGTAGTGTCAGTTGATATTGGAGTTGGCTGAGCTGTTGTAGTTTCAGTAGTTGTAGTGTCAGTTGATGTTTGAGTTGGCTGAACTGTTGTAGTTTCAGTAGTTGTAGTGTCAGTTGATGTTTGAGTTGGCTGAGCTGTTGTACTTTCAGTAGTTGTAGTGCCCGCTGTTGTCTGAGTTGTCTGAACTGTTGTAGTTTCAGTAGTTGTAGTGTCAGTTGATGTTTGAGTTGGCTGAGCTGTTGTAGTTTCAGTAGTTGTAGTGTCAGTTGATGTTTGAGTTGGCTGAGCTGTTGTAGTTTCAGTAGTTGTAGTGTCAGTTGATGTTTGAGTTGGCTGAGCTGTTGTAGTTTCAGTAGTTGTAGTGCCCGCTGTTGTCTGAGTTGTCTGAACTGTTGTAGTTTCAGTAGTTGTAGTGTCAGTTGATGTT